GCTGTTTTTCCCATTCCGCGTGCGTTCTGCAGGGATTTTAGCAAAAAATGTCAGTGATCTTGTTGGTAAACCAGGCAGAAACGAAACCCTGTTGCTGTGGTCAAAGATGGAGAGCGAAATGCAGGCTGTGGAGGAATAAATAGATGAAAACTGAGCAAACGCATAGGCTGTGTGTCCCTGTGAAGAAACAAAAATGACTGAAAGCAAACCCGCAGAAATCAGAGAGTGATTTAAACAATGGCAATTTTCATTAATGCAAAGCGACTCTGCTGTATAAAGACGGATGGTGTATGAACATAAGGGAATAATCGTAGTTTTTAAATAGTCAGAGGGTCTGATTTTATTCTAATTAGAGACAAATCTAGGTCTGTATAAATCTCTGTAACGTGGAACGGCGTTTGACTGGGCTCTGTTTGACTTCGATGTGCATGAAATAGATTTATTTCCTGTGCATGAAATAAATGCATGAAAAAAGCCCCCTCATGGTTCCCCCCTGAGACGGATGCCGGGGGCTCAGCCCTCTCCCTGCCTGGACTCTGCACCGTGGCGTTGCTCTGGGGTGGGGACTGTGGGCTCCAGATGTGGCTTGACAGCTTCTCAGGGCCAGGCTTGGCTTCTCAGCGGCTCCGCTTGCTAACGAACACCTAATGAGGTAGATTAGGGAGCGTTTCATCTCCGACAGTGCTGCAGGCTCCATGCCTACCTGTGGCTCTGGCTGCTTGCGTGACCTGATGGTGGACCTGCAGGCTGGCTTGGAAGGGTCACCATGAGCATGGTGAAGACTAGGCTGCGGTCAGCGTGATGGGTCCCCAAGGCTTTCCACGCCTAGGGATGGATCCTGCAGTCTGTTGGATCAAGGAGACCATTCTTAGGAGCTGGTGGGGTCTTTTTAATGTTACATTTCTCGGGGTTTCTGCTGGTGGAGCTGGGGAGGAGATGCGGGGAGCTCAGCTCCCAGTGATCCACCACTGCAACTCCAGGACCTGTGTGGGCACAAACTTTCCCCGAGTGGATTTATATGGCCAAATCTGCAAAACCCAAAGGCGCTCTTGCCCAATCAGTCTACGAGCAATAATCAATTCAATAAACTCCACAGATGAAGACAGCCCACTGGCTGCTGCATCTCCCCCGGGGGAGATGGCTGTCCTTCCTCGAGCCATCCCTTCCTGAGCACCCTCCTTCTCTGGGGGAAGGGCTGCAAACATCTAAACCTGATTCCCCCCATTGCTGAGTCAGCCAAATTGCTTTTGTCCTGCTGTCCAGGGACATGCAAAACAGATGTCTGCAGCCTCTGGTGTCTACGACTGTCGTGTCCTCCCCGCTCCGCGGTATTTTCTTCAGGCTGAACCAATCCAGCTTCTTCCCAGATGGTGTTTTCTAAACTTGGGGTTGTTCTTGCTTCTGTCCGCTGGTTTGGTTTTTTCTTTTTTCCAGAAAATCCATATTTTATGGAAGGTGCCTTGCCCAAAACTGGACTTGGGAGCAGAGCAGAGTCTTGGTTGCCGTACGGACGGCGTTCCTGTGGCCGTATCGTCCTCAAATAACACACGGCCGCGGGCTGCGTATGACCCATTGTGTCCCCACAGAAGGACTGCCCGTTCCCTGCCCTCAGTTCGTGCTGTTTCTTGTTCCTCCAGAAACACACAACTTGGTGCATTTTTATTGGGTTGCATCTTATTTCATCCAGGCCCGTTGCTCCCTTTGCCAAGTTCCTTCTCTGAATTGCAGCCACGTCTCCCCAAGCGCCTGTGGGCTCTTGTGGCTTGGTGTCACCCGTGTCTTCGGTCACCTTGCTTCTTCTTTAGCACCATCCTGGGCATCCAGGAGGGTAGTGGGGAAACCAGACCCACCACAGACCCTCATCCGACGTGGCTTAACAGCTCATCTCCCCTGGTGTCACCTATTTCTGTCGTTTTCAGCTATCTTCATGCTGAAGGAAAAGCACCCTTTGGATTTTTCCCAGCCCCTGGTTTCTCCAGGGGAAGATGCAGACACTTTGCTCTTTGCAGAGCCTGTCCATCTGTCCATCCATCCCTTCCCAGGGCACATCTTGGAGTGCAACTGGAGGAGGGTTGCTGCAGGGGGTTTCTGCTGTGAGATGGTCCATGGCTTAGCATGATGTGCCTGAAGGGCACTTGTGAAGACGTTATGTCTATACGTTGGCCTGTGTGTGCATATATATATCTATATGGCAGGGTGGATCGTTTTCCTTCTAAATTTTCTCTAAATTTCCATATCAGCACCCAGATGTACACGTGCTGGCCGAACTCCAGTGCTTAATGCCTGCAGGGGACAGTGCAGGTGAGCAGCATGGAAGTCCTCCCTTTGCTGCTCACATCAGACACAGCGTTTCTGACAGCCATGCCATGACTTTGCAATTAGCTCCTGATAATTGGTGATTAAAGAGTCGCTCTGCGGGTGGGTGGCTCGCTGGTCCATGGAGATCATTAGGAAGTTTGACTTTCCAAGGACTATGAAAATGTCCTTAGATGACCTCGCATCTCCTGCTTGCCTCTTCCCTAGGGGAAGGGGGAAAGCCCCACCACCGTCCCTCTGTGCTGGGGTGGCTTCTTCTCCCCAGCCTGCTCCTGGGATTGCCATCCCCTCTGGCAAGGGGGCTCTGGGACCATCATAACTCCCCAAAATTAGGAGGTGGTCCAGAGAGGTTGATGTAAAAGGAGAGAAGAGCTACTTCTGCTCTCTGACCTTCTGCAAAGGTTGGAGATGGTCTCGATTTACCCAGAGAAGCTGTGAATGCCCCATCCCTGTAGGGGTTCAAGGCCAGGCTTTGAGCAACCAACCTGGTCTGGTGGGAGGTGTCACTCCCCATGGGAGGAGGGGTTGGAACTAGATGAACTTTAAGGTCCTTTCCAACCCAAACCATTCTGTGATTCTATGAAATGGGGTTTCTACAAGATTTAATGTCTGTGAAGTTGCACCTTGCTTCTGAAGGTATCCCCGTGGGCTTTGCCATCGGCATGGACGTGCACCAAAGGCAGATGTCCTTAGGGGACATGGAATCAGGCAGATTTTAACATGTCGTTGCTGAAACGGGGCGGGTTTGTGTTAAATTGAAGTTTAGATTCAAGCCTGTTGGTCCCCGCACTTCCCACCTGCGCTGGAGACAGAGGGCTTTCTGCTGACAGCTCTTAATTGGCTTTCTGCTAATAGCTTTTAATTGTTTTAACCAGATCGATTTAAGAGGCCTCTGACAGTGGGTTTTAGGACTGTTTAGGACTGTTGCATGATGGGACTTTCAGAAAAGAGCAAATTTCAGCCTGTCCATGCACGGTAACGGCTTTGCCCCCGTGTTTGGTGTGGGGCTGATCTCTTTGTGTGCAGCATTTAAGGAACTTCACTGAAACGTGAATCCTGACCCCTGTCAGGTGGAGAGTGTGAGCAAAAAAACATTTTGGGGCTGTTAGCATCACCTCTGCTTGGATGTGAATGGGGTTTGGGGTCTGAGATGTCCCAGCAGTGGGACTGTCCTCCTTGTGTCATCTCATCCCTTTCTGAAGCAATTCTGGAAAACCGTTGAGGTTGGCCATGTCAGCGAAGGTTATTGGAGGTGTCCATGAAGGTTGTCCTCATGCTGGTGGGGAGCAGAGCACCAGAAGCCCCAGCCAGGGAGCAGAAGCACATAGTGGGTAGAAATCCCTCCCAAAACCAGTGCAAGCCCCCACTTCTCCTTCCCCTTGGACTCTCCTATGCCATCAGGAGGTAGGGGGTCCATCACCCTCTCGACACATACCCTTTACATCAACTCAGGAATGGTCAAAGAGAGGGGAAGTGCTGCTGTTAATTTGTATTTAGCCCCAAAAGAGAGATTTCTTGAACCTCCAGCTGCTCTCTCCATTCAAGGTGTGGGGTTTGGTGCTGTTTGGGGCCGAAACACTGTTTTTTCATTGTTGCTGCACCCATTGTTGGTTGAGACGGGGCTCCTGGGTGTCTCCTGGTGGGGAAGAGGACAAGGACTAATGGACAAGGGTATTGCTGGGACCGGAGCGCGTGAGCTCAGGAGGCTACGGCAGAGCTATTGTTGGGTTGTAGGTGCTAAATAAAGCAGGTCCTGATTTGGCACAGGGTTTGAAGCCTTCAGGATGCAAAGCAAAAGCATCGTCATGGGCACGGTGTTGTGCTGCAGCACAGATATCCGCAGGGACCCCCCCCTCCCTTGTGGGGTGTCACCACGGGCCCCCCAAACCTGTGAAACTCCAAGTAGGTGCTGAGCAGGCTGGAGCTGGGGAGGCTCATTGCCTTCTCCCTGGAGGACACCCCATCATGGGGTCTGGTGGGGTTTTGCATGTTGCAGAGGAAGGATTCCCCTCCCAGATACTTCCCTGTGAAACCATGTTGATGTCAGGAGGATAAAAGTATTTTTAGATGCCCAGCCAGCCAGGCACAGAGGTGCTACGCTGCAGAGAATCACTGAGAAGGAAGAGGTCATTTCAATTGGTGCATTTTGAGGCCCCTTCTGAAACAGATTGTGGGACCGTCTTTGATGGCACATCATTTTCCCCTGCTCAAAAAAAAAATATAAATCCCTTTATTCCTCTTAAGCAGCCATTTAAATCAGTGTCTGCCATCTGTAAAACAGCCATTTGCTCGTCCTAAGCTCAACCACGCCGTTAGCTTCGGCAGTTCCCATGTTCCTGGGAAAAGGCCAGCGTGGAGCTTGGCGTGACGCCAACTCTCCGTGGGCTAATTCCTGGTGGCTCAACTGCAGAAACTTCTGAGGACGTGTCCTCAACCTAGGGCTATGCATACATCAGTATGCGTAGCACTATGTCCTCATCCAAGGGCTGGTTCCTCCTACTGTCCTTATCCATAGCACTATGTCCTCCAAAAGGTCTGTGAAGTTCAGTACGGTGTCTGGAGCGCCAATGGGATGGTGGATGGCACCTAATCAACTCCTCGTGTTGCTGTTGATGCTGTTGTGTGTGGTTAAGCAGTGTCATGGACTCAATGGGAGCTTTTTTCTCCTTACCTTTCTGCTGCAGATGTCCCAGCCTGGCTGAAGAGCCTCCGGCTGCACAAGTACGCCGCCCTCTTCTCGCAGATGACGTATGAGGAGATGATGGCCCTCACCGAATGCCAGCTCGAGGCACAAGTACGTCCCACGTCGGTCGTGAAGGGGATCAGCCGCGGTCCCAACTCTTGTGCGGTCGGTAGATGAGACATCTCCAACACCTCTTTTTGTCTCTTCACATGGAAGGCTGTTTGGCCGCAGGTGGTTGGGAAGCAAGCAGACATAGGGGGATTGAGTCTTAGGGAGTGAAAAAAAACCACAGTGTACCTGAAAAAGACCTTGTCCTAGATTTCTTACTGGAGTCCCGGCATAAAAGTCCCATCAATGGGAGATGTGCTTGGGTTTTCTTCCAATTGGGATTAAGTTGAGGGGTTCCAGGGGCACAGACTGTAGTACCCAACTCCTTTAATGTCAGTGGGGCTTTGGTGGCCAATTGCCTTGTGAACCTTTGAAAATGTCCCCACTTTCAGATTTACCTCTGCTTTATCCTGGGGATGAAGAGAGCCAGTCCACACCTTGCCTTCCCTGTGGGAGATATACTGGGGAGGGACAGACTAGCTGGAAATGTCTATCTTCAGCAAGTCTCTAAGTGATTTTTCTATGTCCCCTGCTAATCTCCACACTCTGAAGCTTGATTAATGTATAGCAGCCCTTTTTGTTTAGGGGAGGAGGGATTTGGGCTGACTGGGGATGTCCTGTGGAAATGTTAACGCCAGGTTTTTGTGCTGCTTTTTGCAGAATGTTACCAAAGGCGCAAGACACAAAATAGTCATCAGTATCCAAAAGCTAAAAGAAAGACAAAACCTGCTCAAATCTTTAGAAAGGGTAAGTAATCACAACCATTTTGGTATTTCCTCCTTTTCAAGAAGCCAGGAATGAATTCTGGGTTGAAGTGCTCTTTGGTTACACATGTTGGGATCTGTTGCTGGCTTTGCGGCATCTGGGTGGTGTCTCAAACACTTCTGTACCAGATGCAGATTTTATTTGGGGCTGTATTTTGGGTCCTAACCCATCTCCAGCACCCACGCTGGAGTGGAATGATGTACCTTGGGATGGATATACCCTGCAGCCCTGGCACAAGTCCTGCCCAGCTCCAAGGTGCCCATAAACACCTGAGCTCCAGGTGTTGGAGGGCACCATCCCAGCGATGCTGATGGGAAGGTGGTCACCCATCCGCTGAACTGGGCTACAGGACCACCACTAGCCATCGTGGTCCTCTCTCCCCACTGGAGAACCAGCTGGGCAGAGCAAGCTTTTAACCCCTGATTATCCCTTGGCCTCTCAGTTAAGTCTCCCATCGCGATGCCCCTGCCCTTAGTGATGTACCTTGGGATGGATATACCCTACAGCCCTGGTACAAGTCCTGCCCAGCCCCAGGGTGCCCATAAACACCTGAGCTCCAGGTGTTGGAGGGCACCATCCCAGCGATGCTGATGGGAAGGTGGTCACCCATCTGCTGAACTGGGCTACAGGACCACCACTAGCCATCGTGGTCCTCTCTCCCCACTGGAGAACCAGCTGGGCAGAGCAAGCCTTTAACCCCTGATTATCCCTTGGCCACTCAGTTAACTCTTCCACCACGATGCCACTGCCCTTCTCAAGAGACCTCTCCAGGCAGAGCATTCCTCATGGAGACCCATGAGCCCTGCCCCTGCTTCTCCATCCCCCAAAACAGATGTGATTTCCCAGTGTCCATCAGGTCAAGGACCACTGTTCTTTTCTGGAGCATCATATGGGCAATCTGTCCCCAGATAAAAAGCCAGACACAAACGTCAGTGCCTGAACAACAGGGTGAATTTCCAAGGAGAACAAACAGAAACTTCTTTTTCCCTTCAACAAAAGCTCCAACTTTGCCGAAATGGCTTTTAAGGCAGGACCAGCACCACAGACCGGCTCCTCTCACCGTTTTGGTGTCGCAATATTATATTCTATTTAATTGCACCCTCTTCAAACAGCAGCTTGCAGAGCCTCCCGCTAGGGGCTTTTAAATACTTACGTGGTGTGTTGCTATTTATTGGTGTTTTCGTTAGCTCACTGCTCTGCTATTTATTTACAATATGGGATTGTACTTGGAGTGTGGCAGGAGCTAATAAAGCTGTATTTACCTCCGTATATTAATAATAACTATTAAATCTGAGAGACAGCCCGCTGGATTGAGCTTGCCTGGGTGAGATGTTTTCCAGGCGATTGCCCAGCCTCTTCCCCCGCTCCTCTGCCCTGGATTTTGAAATATGGTATTGATTGACTCCGACACAACCAGCCTCGCACGCTGTAAAATAAGGGAGAAAAGTGTGGGGGGCTGCTCTTGAGCCCTCCTGGGGTGGGTTTGGGCTGTGGGGCTGCGACCGGGTCCCACTTTGCTGGAGCTCAGAGCTGCCTGTGAGCTGCTTGACTTGGGAGGGGGTGCCTCTGGTTTTCCAGGCTTCCCATCCAATTTTTTTTTTAATTTATTTATTTTTTTTAACTAAACAAGAGCATGTGTGGGGCTTGATTTGTTTTTTGGGCAGTGTCCCGCTGCTAAAGATTGCTGCTTTCTTGGAAAGAGCAGCTCCACCCCTCTCTGCTGGTTAGCAGAGTAGGATATTTTTTTTTCCCCAAAAAAAATACTGCCCAGCAGACTGATGCCAGGTTTTCGAGAAAAGTGGAGCTAAGATGTCCAAGAGCGAGCTGGAGGTGCAGCAGGAATGAGGGTGAACAACCATTTCAGGGCTTCAGCTGACTCCCTCACAGCCTCTGCACCCACTTTGTCTCTCTTCCCTAGGACTTGCCCCAAAAACTGCCTCTTTCCAAGCGGCGTCCCAGGAGCCAGACCCTGCAGGAGCCTGTGATGAGCTGTTCTGGTCCAGGCTACATTAAAACCAAAAATACAATTATCTCCCATCAGTGGGAGGAGGATATGGCTGTAGAAAAGGAGTTCTTGATCCACGCTATAACCAAGAGCAAGGCTGGGGGTTTACCCAAATCCTCTCCCCCCAGGGTCTCCAAGCTGAATATTTTTGCTACAGGGATATAAGTCTACCTGCAGCCTCGTGGTGTCTCCTTCTGTGTCCGACTACAGCCACCCTGCTCCCCTTGAAACCCTCCCTTCCCCTCTGCCTCCGCTCCCCCAGCCCATCCCAGTGTGGATGGGGACATCCCAGCTTTGTTCCTGCAGGATGAGCTCCTGCATCCCAGCATGGTCCTGGGCTCTGTGGTGGTCCCAGGACATCAGGATGCTATGGCGAGCTCTTTGGGGCAGAGCAGTTAATGGAGAGCCAGGTGGGAAGGCAGTGCTGGAAGCTTAGAGACAAGCCCACATTAAAAAAGTACAATTCCAATTAAATAGGGCTGAAATCATAGAATCATTTAGGTTGGAAAAGACCCTCGGGATCATCGAGTCCAACCATCAACCCTACTCTACAAAGTTCTCCCCAACACCATATCCCCCAGCACCACGCAATTATTGCTGGGGAAGGAGCAAGATACCTGCTGGTCTGGGCACCGAAATCTCATGGGATGAGTCGCTCTCGTGGGGTTTGCATCTTCCTGGTGGAAATTTGGAAAGGCTGAAGCTGGATTGTTGCTGGTTTTGGGTCCCAGTGGTTGACGGGACACGTTCATCTCTGGAGATTCAGATCTGAACACATCCGTGGATGTGGCACAGTCCCTGCAGCAGCTCCTCAGTCCCTGGCTCTAAGCGAAGACCTCCTGGAGCAGGAGGGAGGCTGTTGGCTTTGCTGGGGATTTTCTGGGATGTAATGGTAGAGGTCTAGGGCCCGAGAGGTGATTGTCCCCCTGTACTCAGCACTGGTGAGGCCCCACCTCGAGGGCTGTGTCCAGTTTTGGGCTCCCTACCATAAAAAAAAACATCGAGGTGCTGGAGCAGGTCCAGAGAAGGGCAACAAAGATGGTGAGGGGTCTGGAGCACAAGTCTTATGAGGAGAGGCTGAGGGAGCTGGGGTTATTCAGCCTGGAGAAGAGGAGGCTGAGGGGAGACCTTATTGCTCTCTACAACTCCCTGAAAGGAGGGTGTAGAGAGGTGGGGGTCGGTCTCTTTTCTCAAGTCACAGGCAACAGGACGAGAGGAAATGGCCTCAAGTTACGCCAGGGGAGGTTCAGGCTGGATATTAGGAAAAATTTTTTCACTGAAAGGGTTCTCAGCCATTGGAATGGGCTGCCCAGGGAGGTGGTTGAGGCACCATCCCTGGAGGTGTTCAAAAGACGGGTTGATGTAGTGCTGGGAGGTATGGTTTAGCGATGGTGATGCTTCTTGTTTGTTGTGTGGGTGTCTGTTTTTGTCAGTTAGGTTGATGGTTGGACAAGATGATCTTTAAGATCCCTTCCAACCTAGAAGATTCTGTGATTCTGTTTGGTCGGTAGCCGACGTCCCCTTGTCCCTGCAGAGACAAACCCCTCTTCTCTCCACTCCAATCCACAGGACATCCTGGAAGGTGGCAACTTGCGTGTCCCACTGCAGGAGCTACACCAAATGATCCTCACCCCCATCAAAGCCTACTCTTCCCAAAACTCCAGCCCGGAGGAGCACAGTCGGGAGGCGGACTCGCATCACCCTTCCTCCCTGCTGGGCTCGGACAGCCAAGGCTCCGACTGCAAGGACTCGGCCGCCGGGGGGATGCAGCAGCACCACCACTTACCGGGGTGCGAGGGCGAGTCGGGGGGGGGCCCTTTGCCCGAAGGTGACCTGCCCGGACAGTTCACCAGAGTGATGGGGAAAGGTGAGCTGCTGTCCACCTTGGTTTTGGTGTCCTCGCTAGGGAGAGCTGCTCCAGGGCAGGGTGTGTGCGGTGGCTGGGCTGGCAGCAGCCTTTCCCCGCACCCCCCCCGCGAGGGGCAATCCTAGGGGTGATGAGTTGGGGGTTTTTTTGAGGCCCCGTCGTGCTGTGGGAAGAGGCAAGAGCATGGGGGGGGGAGGTGAATGGTGATTTTTGGGAAGGGCAGTGATGGGATGGGCTGCCTGCCCCAGGTCGGGGGTAGATAGCATCTTCTCCCTGCTCCTGTCTGGAGAGGGATACCATCCTCTCCCTGCCCCAGATCAGGGGTGGATAGCATCCTCTCCCTGCCCCAGCTCAGGGGTGGGCAGCATCCTCTCCCTGCTCCTGTTTGGGGACTGATAGCACCCTCTCCCTGCCCCAGGTCAGGATGGATAGTGTCCTCTCCTGCTCCAGGTGAGAGAAGATAGCATCCTCTCCCTGCTCCAGCTTAGGGATGGATAGCATCCTCTCCCTGCCACAGCTTGGGGATGGATAGCATCCTCTCCCTGCCCCAGGTGGGGGATGGATAGAGTCCTTTCCTGCCCCAGGTGGGGGATGGATGGCATCCTCTCCCTGCCCCAGCTCAGGGGTGGATAGCATCCTCTCCCTGCTCCTGTTTGGGGACCGATAGCACCCTCTCCCTGCCCCAGGTCAGGATGGATAGTGTCCTCTCCTGCTCCAGGTGAGAGAAGATAGCATCCTCTCCCTGCCCCCTGCCCCAGCTCAGGATGGATAGCATCCTCTCCCTGCCCCAGCTCAGGATGGATAGCATCCTCTCCCTGCCCCAGGTCAGGATCAGAGCATCCTCTCCCTTCCCATTCAGAGCCCTGGGAGCATCCCACTGGTCCAGAGGTCTTTTTAGCAGCCCCCTTGGGCCTACTTTTCTTGTGTTTGGGGTAGCACTGGTGTGTGGACTTAGTGTGAGCTGTCCTGAGTACAAATCAGCTGGGTCCAAGCCTCTCTTCAAGCCCTAATTTAGATGCAGGACATCCAAAACACTCAGGTGCCATTCCATAGCTGGTGCTTTGCAGCAGGATAAACACACTGGGAGGTGCACGGGAGCCATGTGAGGGGTGAACCAACCTCCAATGCCACAGACGGGGCTCTTTGAGCAAATTTCTATGAGTTTGGGCATGTCCTGACTCCCCTCAGTGGCATTTGAGTTGTCAGTGCTGGCTGCGTGGAGGGAGATCTCCCTGGGGAAGAGGGGAGGGGAATCTCATCACAGGCTCACACAGACCAGGAACAGAAAGAAACTCATTGGGATCCCACAAAGAAGTATCAGCCCCATCCCTGTTTCCCTTTTTTTGCAAAAAAAATAGATAACATTTTCTATACAAAGACTTGCTGCAGATTTTCTCCCCAGCTCACTGGCTGCAGGCACAGACAAACCTGGGTTTCTGGCCCCGTTTGAAACCCGCTGATGAATTCAGCCCGTGACAAACGCCCCTGTCACGCACGAAGCTGGACGTGTGGCACAAGCCTTGCCAGGACAAGGTGTCCTGGACCACGAGGCATCCCTGCCCAGGGATTACAAAAGCAGAGGCTCATTTCTTTGTGAACTCATTTCCACATGCTTTCATGGCATTCATTCCAAAAGAGGTTAAATCTCGTCGGGAAAGGTGGGAATCCGTTCACAGCGGGGGTAGATTTTGGCTGTAGGAGCAGGAGCTTGAGCCAGCAGTGCCTTTGGTGTGTTGCAATTAGGAAAAGGGAATAATCTTGCGTCCCTGATTTGCTCCAGTCTAATTTTGGTGACTCCAGTGGGGTTCTCTGGATTTACACCAGCGTAACGGAGAACAGAATCTGGCCCTAAATATAGGACAGCACAGCAGGAATTGGGGAAGGGTGTTTTTTACTCCCTGATAAGAAGACTCACCTGTGGGACGAGGGAAAAAAAAGCATTTGTTGGACTCCTCAGACCCCAGTTCAGTGTCCCCATGCCCATTTCTCTTCTCTATTTTTTTTTCCAGTATGCACACAACTTTTAGTTTCCCGACCCGATGAAGAGAATATAAGTTCCTATTTACAGCTCATAGACAAATGTCTAATCCACGAGGTGAGTCGTTGTTCTCATCACTTAGAAACTGTTGCCAAAGTATCTGTTTATGTAAACCTTTTGGTTCCTAACACAAATATTTTTTTGGGGGAGGGGGGTATTAATAGTAATTGTGACAGAAGAGGGCTGGAGCAGGCAGTAGCTCCAACGGGGTGTGTGGGAATGTTGCTCCTCCCTCTCCACGCTCGCTTAATTGCCAAGACCTGGAAAATTCATCGGCTCGCGATGGTCTGATCAGCAGCTGGATGAAAGGAGGTGCCCAGTGACAGGACGAGGAAATGGGCACAAACTTGAATATAAGTTCCATCTAAACATCAGGAGGAACTTCTTTGCTTTGAGGATGACAGAGCCCTGGAAGAGGCTGCCCAGAGAGGTGGTGGAGTCTCGTTCTCTGGAGACATTCAAACCCCACCTGGACACGTTCCTGTGCAACCTGCTCTGGGTGGACCTGCTTTGGCAGGGGGTTGGACTGGATGTTCTCCAGAGGTCCCTTCCAACCCCATAGCATTCTGTGATTCTGTGAAAAATCCCGGGATGAACGTGCAGGTGATTTCTGTCAGACAGACCTGGCCATCCCTTGGCGTTGCCACCTCCTGTCTGGCAGCACGTGGTCTTGGCATTTTGGCACCGGGGGCATTTATTTCTGCTCTTGGTGGATTCTCTTTTACTGGGTGATGGCTGCACACCCTCTTGTAGTAGCTTTAAGCATTTCTAAGTTATTTGTTTATAAAAAAAACCCCATGCTCTCAAAGCACGGAAGGGTCTCCTCTGGAGAGGGCTGGTGGCTGCAGACCCTGTGGAAGAGGAGAAAGGTGGCTCGTAGCCCCTTGCCTTGTGCAGGTGGCCAAGCTGCCCTTGTGCAAAGGTTTGATCCACGCATCTCTGTAGGGCCAAGCACAGGAGATCCCGAGTCAGGGTGAAATAATTGGATACTGGGCAAAAATGCAAGTGCTTTGTCATACTTTTTGAACTCCTGCAGTGTCAGCCAACATTTGACTCCCAACGTACAGGGTGGTGGCACCCGCTGTTTGGGTTTGCTGCAAGACAGGTTTAGAGCCATGGGTATGGTCTTCTCAGTGCTCTGCACAGGCAGTGGGAAATAGCTGTGGGAGGGAAGAGCACGTTGTGGTCCCACTTGCTCCCCTCTCAGAGAGCATCAGGGCCTGGAGAAGGTGCCTGGACTCTCTGGACAGCCGAGCAGGGCATCCCGGAGGGAGCAGAGGTACCACGAAGAGGACAAGGATGGTGGGAGCAGGTTCCCGGGGCTGGAGAGCAAAGCCAGGAGGACACAGACCTGCAGAGGAGCTCATTTTACAGGAGCAGCCAGGACAGACCTGGTGACGCGGTGTCACCCCATCGGTCCCAGGATCACTGTCTGCGTCGGCTCCGGCGTAATCAGCGCCGGGAGAGAGCATCTCCTCCAGAGAGTGGCTCGGAGCAATCAAGTCGGGCGCTAATTAGCCTGCAAATTGTCCTCTGGAGACCTCTGCTCCTCTCCACTGACGGTGTGGAGACGTTGGGTGTCTAAAGTTAGTGGTGACAGGCACGTGGGTGTCCCCGTAACCCACACCGCCTGCCTGCAGGTCTGGGGCATTTGGGGAGATCTGTCCCCTGCCCGGGAGGGTGATGGGGCTCACCCTGGGTGACCTCCCATGAAGGGCAGCATCCTCTCCCTGCTCCTGTTTGGGGACTGATAGCACCCTCTCCCTGCCCCAGGTCAGGATGGATAGTGTCCTCTCCTGCTCCAGGTGAGAGAAGATAGCATCCTCTCCCTGCTCCAGCTTAGGGATGGATAGCATCCTCTCCCTGCCACAGCTTGGGGATGGATAGCATCCTCTCCCTGCCCCAGGTGGGGGATGGATAGAGTCCTTTCCTGCCCCAGGTGGGGGATGGATGGCATCCTCTCCCTGCCCCAGCTCAGGGGTGGATAGCATCCTCTCCCTGCTCCTGTTTGGGGACCGATAGCACCCTCTCCCTGCCCCAGGTCAGGATGGATAGTGTCCTCTCCTGCTCCAGGTGAGAGAAGATAGCATCCTCTCCCTGCCCCCTGCCCCAGCTCAGGATGGATAGCATCCTCTCCCTGCCCCAGCTCAGGATGGATAGCATCCTCTCCCTGCCCCAGGTCAGGATCAGAGCATCCTCTCCCTTCCCATTCAGAGCCCTGGGAGCATCCCACTGGTCCAGAGGTCTTTTTAGCAGCCCCCTTGGGCCTACTTTTCTTGTGTTTGGGGTAGCACTGGTGTGTGGACTTAGTGTGAGCTGTCCTGAGTACAAATCAGCTGGGTCCAAGCCTCTCTTCAAGCCCTAATTTAGATGCAGGACATCCAAAACACTCAGGTGCCATTCCATAGCTGGTGCTTTGCAGCAGGATAAACACACTGGGAGGTGCACGGGAGCCATGTGAGGGGTGAACCAACCTCCAATGCCACAGACGGGGCTCTTTGAGCAAATTTCTATGAGTTTGGGCATGTCCTGACTCCCCTCAGTGGCATTTGAGTTGTCAGTGCTGGCTGCGTGGAGGGAGATCTCCCTGGGGAAGAGGGGAGGGGAATCTCATCACAGGCTCACACAGACCAGGAACAGAAAGAAACTCATTGGGATCCCACAAAGAAGTATCAGCCCCATCCCTGTTTCCCTTTTTTTGCAAAAAAAATAGATAACATTTTCTATACAAAGACTTGCTGCAGATTTTCTCCCCAGCTCACTGGCTGCAGGCACAGACAAACCTGGGTTTCTGGCCCCGTTTGAAACCCGCTGATGAATTCAGCCCGTGACAAACGCCCCTGTCACGCACGAAGCTGGACGTGTGGCACAAGCCTTGCCAGGACAAGGTGTCCTGGACCACGAGGCATCCCTGCCCAGGGATTACAAAAGCAGAGGCTCATTTCTTTGTGAACTCATTTCCACATGCTTTCATGGCATTCATTCCAAAAGAGGTTAAATCTCGTCGGGAAAGGTGGGAATCCGTTCACAGCGGGGGTAGATTTTGGCTGTAGGAGCAGGAGCTTGAGCCAGCAGTGCCTTTGGTGTGTTGCAATTAGGAAAAGGGAATAATCTTGCGTCCCTGATTTGCTCCAGTCTAATTTTGGTGACTCCAGTGGGGTTCTCTGGATTTACACCAGCGTAACGGAGAACAGAATCTGGCCCTAAATATAGGACAGCACAGCAGGAATTGGGGAAGGGTGTTTTTTACTCCCTGATAAGAAGACTCACCTGTGGGACGAGGGAAAAAAAAGCATTTGTTGGACTCCTCAGACCCCAGTTCAGTGTCCCCATGCCCATTTCTCTTCTCTATTTTTTTTTCCAGTATGCACACAACTTTTAGTTTCCCGACCCGATGAAGAGAATATAAGTTCCTATTTACAGCTCATAGACAAATGTCTAATCCACGAGGTGAGTCGTTGTTCTCATCACTTAGAAACTGTTGCCAAAGTATCTGTTTATGTAAACCTTTTGGTTCCTAACACAAATATTTTTTTGGGGGAGGGGGGTATTAATAGTAATTGTGACAGAAGAGGGCTGGAGCAGGCAGTAGCTCCAACGGGGTGTGTGGGAATGTTGCTCCTCCCTCTCCACGCTCGCTTAATTGCCAAGACCTGGAAAATTCATCGGCTCGCGATGGTCTGATCAGCAGCTGGATGAAAGGAGGTGCCCAGTGACAGGACGAGGAAATGGGCACAAACTTGAATATAAGTTCCATCTAAACATCAGGAGGAACTTCTTTGCTTTGAGGATGACAGAGCCCTGGAAGAGGCTGCCCAGAGAGGTGGTGGAGTCTCGTTCTCTGGAGACATTCAAACCCCACCTGGACACGTTCCTGTGCAACCTGCTCTGGGTGGACCTGCTTTGGCAGGGGGTTGGACTGGATGTTCTCCAGAGGTCCCTTCCAACCCCATAGCATTCTGTGATTCTGTGAAAAATCCCGGGATGAACGTGCAGGTGATTTCTGTCAGACAGACCTGGCCATCCCTTGGCGTTGCCACCTCCTGTCTGGCAGCACGTGGTCTTGGCATTTTGGCACCGGGGGCATTTATTTCTGCTCTTGGTGGATTCTCTTTTACTGGGTGATGGCTGCACACCCTCTTGTAGTAGCTTTAAGCATTTCTAAGTTATTTGTTTATAAAAAAAACCCCATGCTCTCAAAGCACGGAAGGGTCTCCTCTGGAGAGGGCTGGTGGCTGCAGACCCTGTGGAAGAGGAGAAAGGTGGCTCGTAGCCCCTTGCCTTGTGCAGGTGGCCAAGCTGCCCTTGTGCAAAGGTTTGATCCACGCATCTCTGTAGGGCCAAGCACAGGAGATCCCGAGTCAGGGTGAAATAATTGGATACTGGGCAAAAATGCAAGTGCTTTGTCATACTTTTTGAACTCCTGCAGTGTCAGCCAACATTTGACTCCCAACGTACAGGGTGGTGGCACCCGCTGTTTGGGTTTGCTGCAAGACAGGTTTAGAGCCATGGGTATGGTCTTCTCAGTGCTCTGCACAGGCAGTGGGAAATAGCTGTGGGAGGGAAGAGCACGTTGTGGTCCCACTTGCTCCCCTCTCAGAGAGCATCAGGGCCTGGAGAAGGTGCCTGGACTCTCTGGACAGCCGAGCAGGGCATCCCGGAGGGAGCAGAGGTACCACGAAGAGGACAAGGATGGTGGGAGCAGGTTCCCGGGGCTGGAGAGCAAAGCCAGGAGGACACAGACCTGCAGAGGAGCTCATTTTACAGGAGCAGCCAGGACAGACCTGGTGACGCGGTGTCACCCCATCGGTCCCAGGATCACTGTCTGCGTCGGCTCCGGCGTAATCAGCGCCGGGAGAGAGCATCTCCTCCAGAGAGTGGCTCGGAGCAATCAAGTCGGGCGCTAATTAGCCTGCAAATTGTCCTCTGGAGACCTCTGCTCCTCTCCACTGACGGTGTGGAGACGTTGGGTGTCTAAAGTTAGTGGTGACAGGCACGTGGGTGTCCCCGTAACCCACACCGCCTGCCTGCAGGTCTGGGGCATTTGGGGAGATCTGTCCCCTGCCCGGGAGGGTGATGGGGCTCACCCTGGGTGACCTCCCATGAAGGATGTCAGTGCCAGAGCGGAGCTCTGCCTGGTCCTGGGATGGAGGATGGGATGTGGGATGCTCTAGAGCAGCTCTGCTTTCCAAATCCCAGCATTTTCTAGAGTCACGTCCAGGTGACAAGTGTCCCTACCGGTGGGGACCAGCCAGCAAACCCTGGCAGCAAGCAGGGAGCTGGGAGCACGAGCAGTGGGTCTGGGGGCAAGGAGGGGTGGCAGGGAAGCTTTGGAGGAGCCCTGATCTGCCCAGGGGGGGTTGGCAGCCTTGGGGGCAGAGCCTGGGGTGCATGGGATGCTGCCGGAGCTTTTTCTCCACTTGAGATGAGCAAATCCTTGAGAAAGACCAGGATTTCCCTCTGGGCTTGATGATGGGGCTCAGTTCATGCCACCTCCTGCTCCGGGTGATTTTCTTCACAGGCATCCCCGCTGGCTTGGTCCAGAAAAATACTCATCTGTTTCCTATTTTTCTCTTTTCTTTCGGGCAGGCGTTTACAGAGACCCAGAAGAAGCGGCTGCTGTCATGGAAACAGCAGGTGCAGAAACTCTTTCGGTCTTTCCCTCGGAAATCCCTGCTGGAGCTATCAGGCTATCGGCAGCAGAGGAGGTATGAGGGATTCCGGGAGGGGAGGGATGGACACATCAGCTGGGGGTCCAGTGAGAGGGTCCCGTGGGGGGTTGGTGGGGTGGTGACCATCAATCTGGTGCTTTGCAGCGATGGATTGGCACCCTGGGGACATTTGGCTGTCCCTCTGGGCCCACCAACCCAACCGCTCGCCCCCACCACCCGTTCCTAACCCTCCGGTTGTCCTCTCTCTCCCGCAGCCGAGGCTTTGGCCAGTCGAACTCCTTACCCACAGCTGGATCTGCGGGGGCAGGACTGGGCCGGCGAAACCCCCGCCAGTTCCAGATCCCCTCCCGCAACCTCCCCACCGCCCGCCTGGGGCTGCTGGGTCCCAGTGGGCTACTGGGCACCCCCCAGCGCAGCCCCGCCGCCAGCCCCGCCATCCTCAAGCAAGGCAGACAGGTGGGTCGGCTTTTCCTTGGCATCTCCACCTTCTCCATTCCCCACGCGAGCTTCCTTTGCTTCTTCTCCTCTGGCTTCTCTGCGTCCCCCTCTTCTTCTTGATCTGGACAGACTGGATCAATGGGCCAAGGCCAATGGGATGAGGTTGAATAAGGCCAAGTGCCGGGTCCTGCATTTTGGTCACAACAACCCCAGGCAACGCTACAGACTTGGGGAAGAGTGGCTGGAAAGCTGCCCGGAAGAAAAGGACCTGGGGGTGTTGGTAGACAGCAGGCTTAACATGAGCCAGCAGTGTGCCCAGGTGGCCAAGAGGACCAATGGCATCCTGGCTCGTATCAAGAATAGCGAGGCCAGCAGGAGTAGGGAAGTCATCGTGCCTCTGTACTGGGCACTGGAGAGGCCTCACCTCGAGGGCTGTGTTCAGTTTTGGGCCCCTCACTACAGGAAAGACATTGAAGTGCTGGAGCGTGTCCAGAGGAGAGCCACCAAGCTGGTGAGGGGTCTGGAGAACAAGTCCTATGAGGAGAGGCTGAGGGAACTGGGCATGTTTAGTTTGGAGAAGAGGAGGCTGAGGGGAGACCTCATTGCCCTCTACAACTACCTGAAAGGAGGTTGTAGAGAGGCAGGTGTTGGCCTCTTCTCCCAAAGGACGAACAACAAGACCAGAGGAAATGGTCTGAAGTTGGGGCAGGGGAGATTTAGATTAGATATTAGAAAGAATTACTTGACTGAGAGAGTGGTCAGGCACTGGAACAGCCTGCCCAGGGAGGTGGTGGAGTCTCCATCCCTGGAGGTATTTAAGAAACGTATAGACATGGCTGCCCAAGGTTATTGGTTTATGGCGAGGTGTTGAGTGTGGGGTTTAGCTGGTGGGTGCGGTGTTTTTGGTGGACGTTTGATGTGGTGTGGTGTGGGTTTTTTGGGTTTTTTTTGTGGTTGGACTCGATGATCTCAGAGGTCCCTTCCACCCACTAAGATTCTGTGATTCTGTGATTCTCCCCTTCTTCTCCAGCAACGTTTGGGCACTCTCCTCCTTCCCTGCGGCGGGATGCAGAAGAGGGACGGGGTGGGGAGGGGGCAAGCTGAGAGGTGGAGGGGGGGACCCGAGGGGGTTAGAAATACGCTGTGTTTTACATCCCCTGGCCCTTTTTTTTGTTGTTGTTGTTTGCCTTCTGCAGAACCTCTGGTTTGCCAACCCCGGGGGCAGCAACAGCATGCCCAGCCGCAGCCACAGTTCGGTGCAAAGGACGCGCTCGCTGCCGGTCCACACCTCCCCGCAGACCATGCTGATGTTTCAGCAGCCAGGTAGGAAGCAGAGATTTGGGGTTTTTTTTGGCTTACCCACAGCGAAACAAGGGGGGGGGCTGCATGAAAAGGAGCATCACCTGTACTGGCCACGCTGGAAGCCACGCTGTGCCAGCCCGGGCTGGGTATCTTTGACATCAGTTGGATTTTACTGGGTTGGTTGAACCAGAGAGAGGGATTATGAGCCTAAATATATATATTTATAACGTCTTGGCACTATATATAAAGGCTGGTGCCTTACCTAGCTTCTTTCTGAGGGGTTTCATGTCAGGAGGGGAAGGTGATAGCTCTTCCATGAGCTTTTTTGCTCAGATGTGGACATGGGGACATGGTGTGGAGGGACTGCCTTTGTGCACACAAGGGACATGTTTTCTCAAAACCCACATCGGTGCTTCCTTCCCAAACGCCTCAAAAATGCTCCCATATGTAGGAGCATCCCCTGATTTCGGGGGGGGGTTCCTCCTGAACCTGGACCCTCAACCTGGAGCATCCTTCCCTTTGGGACGCTCATCCTTTTTTTCTCTGTATATCCCTTCATTAGCCTTTAATGACCAACAAACCATAATAATTTATACCACAGGACAGGGAGATACACTCCCCCCTAACCCCCCCCAAGTAAACTAAACCTCATCCATAAGCTTCTGCCACAGTTCCAGCTTGGCAGCTCCCCTCACATCACACGCCTGCGGTGTTTTAGCTGCATAATTTAAGGCAGCAAACGTGGTGTACAGCGAAAGCAGCGTCTGTTCTGGGGTATTGATTAAACACCAGGACAAGGGCACGGTTCTGCAGGCGCTGAAGGAGAATAAATAGGTTCCTCTTTGCGTGGCAGCCTGCGGCGAATGAGGGCGTAGGAGGATTCGAGAGCCAAAGATGCAGACCCAGTCGCAAGGAAAATAAGCAATAACAGCAGGGCTGGGCTCCTGAAATACTTTTCGTGGGGCTGCGGGGACCTCAGCCCTCCTGGACCCTGTCCCATCCTCCTGCAGGCTGGTGGCAAGCAGGAGGTGCCATCCGGTGGTAGCAAGAGCTGTTCTTTGCAAAGCTTTTTGCTGCAGAGAGGAGGGCATTTCGGTGCTGTATGGCTCGGGCAGGGGGGTTGCAGCACGCCAAACTTCATCCTCCCCCCTGCTGGGTGTTTTTTGGGTTCACCTCCCCCCAGGGATGTGGTGGTGGGGCTGTGGGTGACCGAGTGGTGGCCACCAGAAAGCTGGATGGGTGGCTCTGCTGGTCTGTGCTGCCATCCCACGTCAGAGCAGTAACCCTGCCTGCACAGAGAACTTGAAGGTTTTGCACCTATGGAGGATTTTTGTGGAGCCTGAGCAAGGGCAGGGCCTGGGGCTGCCTCCTTCCAGGGTGAGGGTCCTGCTCTCACCCCGTCTTCCCCCCTTCCAGCATCATCCATCATCTTCCCTCCCCATCTATCCACCACCCAAACCCCTCGTTTCCATCCACCTTCTGCTACCCCCTGTCAATAAAAAGCAGGGAAACGTGGTTTCCTACCCCATGTGGGGCAACAGAGCAGGCAGGGGGTGTGGGGCAGACAGGCTGGGGTCCCTGCCAGGTCTCCTGACCAAGGTCTCCTGTCCCTTTCTCCCTGCAGAGTTCCAGGTGCCGGTGACTGAACCTGACATCAACAACAGGCTGGAGTCCCTGTGCCTGAGCATGACGGAGCACGCGCTCAGCGGTGAGCACTCCCTCCTCCTCGGGCTCTTCCAGCATGTCCACGCCACCTCCGCCGAGCCCCCCAGCACCTGCCCCTGCCCCGCACCCCCCAAAAGCTGGGACAGGCTGTGGCTGTGAGCAAACTGGGCAGGGGGCGGCAGGGCTGGATGCAGAGATGCTTCCAGTGATGCTCCTGGGGATGCTCCCAGAGATGCTCCTGAGGATGCTCCCAGAGATGCTTCTGAGGTTGCTCCCAGGGAAGATCCCAGAGATGCTCCTGAGGGTGCTCCTAGGGAGGCTCCCAGAGATGCTCCTGAGGATGCTCCTAGGGAAGATCCCAGAGATGCTCCTAGGGAAGATCCCAGAGATGCTCCTGAGGATGCTCCTAGGGAAGCTCCCAGAGATGCTCCTGAGGATGCTCCTAGGGAAGCTCCCAGAGATTCTCCTAGGGATGCTCCCAGAGATGCTCCTGAGGATGCTCCTAGGGAAGCTCCCAGAGATGCTCCTGAGGTTGCTCCCAGGGATCCTCCTGAGGATGCTCCTGAGGAAGCTCCCAGAGATGCTCCTGAGGTTGCTCCCAGGGGAGATCGGATGGGGACATTGGCTTCTCTCGGCAAGGCAGCCGGGGCAGAGGGGTAAAACCAAAACACGGGGATCGCACCCAGCGCTAGTGGAGTCCGTGCTTATTAGCCACGAGTTGGCTTGCTAATAATAATTAGTATTAGCTCGCTAGTCTGTTATTAGTTCTCGATAAAGCCCTTTGCCACCGGAGTGCTCGAATGGTTCACAGGCTTTGGAGTATTTTACCCTTCTGCCACACCAGGGGAGATCGGATGGGGACATGGGCTTCTCTCGGCGAGGCAGCCGGGGCAGAGGGGTAAAACCGAAACACAGGGATCGCACCCAGCGCTAGTGGAGTCCGTGCTTATTAGCCACCAGTTGGCTTGCTAATAATAATTAGTATTAGCTCGCTAGTCTGTTATTAGTTCTCGATAAAGCCCTTTGCCACCGGAGTGCTCGAATGGTTCACAGGCTTTGGAGTATTTTACCCTTCTGCCACCGGTGCCCCTCATTTGGCCGGGGGGGTGCAGGACCCCCGAGGCACTGGGGGGGTGAAAACCCCACTGGGGGCTGCTGGTGGCACTGGTTATCCACCGGTGGTTATGCTGGTGCTTATCCGGGCGGATAACGGGCACGGGGAGGGAGGAGGACCAGGTGGAAAACCAAGCAGGAGAGATGGAAAAAGCACAGCGGCAGCGTGATGGAGAACCCAACGAGAAGGCAAGATGTGCCACCACCAGAAGAGCCCGGTGCGCCCCTCGCCGATGCGCTGGACCCCCCCAAAGCATGAAGGATGACCCACCCCACCCCAACCTGGCCATGAGACGAGCACGGCCACCAGCATCATCAGACCATCCGGAATAACCAGCTGGGGTCTCGCCGAAGGGTTGAGGATCAAGAGCCCCTCGGGGAGGACGGGTGCCACCGGGCTCCCCCCACAGCCACGCCGTCCCGGGGAGAGGGACACGCCGGAGCAAGGACTGTAAGAGGCAGCAGGGCCCTGGCAGCGCCGCGACGGGGAAAACAAGGACACTTCTGTCACCCGAAGCCTTTCTCCGGCGTGTGCCCAGGCGAGGCTTAGCTGTCTTGTTCCTCTGCAGGGTACTGTTCCTCCCAGTGATTCCTTTTTCCAGGTCGCAGACCCCGAGCCTCTCCAAACCGGTCGTGCTATAAATAGCGCTTAAAAAAAAAAAAAAGAATAAAAAAACAAAAAAAAAAAAAAAAAAAAAAAAAAGGTGTAACAAACCTGTCTGTTTTGAGTTTTAAGGAGGGAGGAGGCTGTGGTGTCCCGGGGAGTGTAAAATGGGGAGTGCTCTGTTCGGGGGCTGCCCACCCCCACCCCGGCCGCTCTCCATCCCGGGGATGGGGATTTGGGATGAGGGATGGGGGGTGGTTGGGGCCAGAGGGTTGGAAATGCTGGTGGGTGTTGATTTCTGGAGCCATAAGAGCTGCTGGCACCTGCGGGGGGGTGGAGGAGAGGGGGCTGTTGGCACAGGGGATGTTTGTGTGGCTTTGGGATGGGTCATGGACCCTCACTCCTGGGCTCGGGGCTGGATGTGTCCCTGTTGTCAAGGGACACTGGGGATGGGGGCTCTGGGGAGAAAGAAAGACTCCTGGGGCTATTTTTTCCTGCCATGGTCCTCAGATGGAGGAAGATTTTGCATCCTCTGTGGTGTGGGCATTGCAGGGCTGGGGTAGCTGAGGGGGGCGAGGCAGCCCCCCACGCCAGCTCCGTCCCCCCACTCCTGGGTGGTGGGTCATGGACTTGTCCCACTGCAGGGGGGGGTCTGAGGCTTGTACCCACCTCGTGGTGAATCCCAGCTGGCCAGAAGCCCCCTTTGCTCCCAGGAAAGGTGCCGTGGGGACGTGGCAGAGGGTCTGGACCTGTGTTGGGACAGCAGCTCGGGAGGGCTGGGGGGCTGCCACGGCGCGGCGGGGCAGGGGGGACACATTGAATGGAGCCACCAGCAGAGTGCTGACACCCCAAAACCCTTCCCCACCCCCTGGGGGAGATGGGGAGGGTGGAGGTGGCTCCGTGGTGCCACCTCCTCACGCAGGGGCAGTGGGATGGGGATGCTCTGGGGTGTCCATCCCCACGGAGGGGAGAAGGGGGGTAGCAGTGCGAGGTGAGGGAGGGGGGCTTTCTCCTAATTTGTCCCTTCCTGCTTGCAGATGGCGTCGACCGAACCTCCACGATCTAGAAGGCGTCGCGACGGGGACGCTGGGCGGGAGAACAACTGCTGCGGGTCCAGCGGCGAGGTCGGGGCTTGCAGGGAGCCTCAGAGATAGCTTGCATCCTTTCTCCTCTCTCCTCCTCTTCCTCCTCCTCCTCTCCTCTTTCTCTCTCTCTCTCTCTCTCTCCTGTTCTAATTTTGTGAATGTGTAGATTGTCCTTGTGAACATATCATTAGACTTGGAATTTGTGTTGTCATTTATTACATCCATGCTAGGGGGGGGGGAAGAAAAAAAAAACAAAACAAAAACCAACAAAACAAAACAAAAAAATATAGGCAAAAAATCAACGATGTTGATGAAAAAGCATGGGGAGGGGAGGGGGGGAACGCGGCAGGAGAGTGCTGACAACGGAGGGTTCAAAAAAGGGCAAACCCTGTTTCTGGACGAGGAGCCGAATGAATATGGAATATCACGCAGGGGGGGTGTGTGACCAAAAACCCTTTTTTGGGGAGGATTTGCCTGTCCCACCGGGGGCTTCGGGGCCGGTGGTCCCGTCCTTTTGAGTTTCGCTGCCTTCGGGCCCAGACTGGCCCGGCGAGCCCAGAGTTTTAAAAACAAAAACAAAAAAATAACCCCAAAATTTCCTTTCAGTGTAGCCCAGAGCATCCGCGGTTGTGCACGGGGTGGCGGAGGGTCGGTGGGGTGTCCCCCCTCCTCTTTCTCCCTGTGACCCCAGCGTGGGTCGGGGTGCAGGGACGTGGGGAAGGGGGTGATCCTGGGGGATGTTGGTGAAGGGAGTGGGGGGACGCTGGGTGAGTGTCCGTGTCTCTTGCCTGCGGGGGTACCGGGGAGATGCTGCATCCTGGCTTCACACATCTCCCCCAGTTACCAACACCCAACGATGAGGGGCTCTTCCAGCCCCTGCGGAGGTGGAGGGGGGAAGGATGCTTGGGGGAGAGCCTGTTGGTTTTATTCGGCCCCATAAAACCCAAGCCCCAAAGTGGGGGCAACTCCACAGCCCCGTTTTTCTTGGCGATAAATGTGTGCCGGGGCTGGTGGGGACGTGGATGGTGGTGGCTCAACTTGCCCCCTCACCCCCTCTCATGCTGCTTTTTAGAATGGGGAGCTCAATTTGGTCCTGGGGGCATGAAATGTGTAAAACGTGACACAGCGTGGCTCAAGCTTCTTCTTAAAGCATAAATCAGGGCCAGAAAAGCCGCCGATCACTCCTAGCGATGCTCAGCATAGCGATGGCTTCGCCGCTCCGAGTCTTCTGATGGGATACAGAGAAGGAATAATAATTAATAATAATTATAATAATTTAAAATATTGCCCAAATGGGCTCGGCCGTGAGCACCGATGGGCAGCAGCGTGTGCCGGGACCGGCCGGAGCAGGGCTAAAGGGGGAGCGTGGTGTGGGGTGGGAGATGTGTCAATCCAGTGGCCCTGCAGCATTTGGAAGTTGTTTTAAAGTGTCCTGGTTTTGTGTTGTTTTTCTGTTTGTTTGTTTTTTTAAAAAAAAAAAAAAATTAACCAAACAAGTGCCAAATGCAAAGTTTGATGTTGGCTCTTCCCTCGGTGTCCTGCTTCCCCGCAGGCAGGAGATTTTTTGGGGGGGGTCCAGGGAGGGGGAGAGGCAAAGGGAGAACCCGAAAGCGAGGGAGGTCGGGACCAAGGTGGGGACACAACCGCCGGAGCAGGAGCCTTCCCCGGGGAAGGCTCAAATGTATTTACGGAGCTGAAATTCTATTTATTCCTTCGCTGACTATAGAAACAGAGGTTGTCTTGAGTGTTAAGAGATATTATTTTGGATATATTACCTATTAACTTGCTATGGCTGGTAACCATGATAATGTCTTTTATTAACCACCACCAAATAATTCAATTGTGTTTTTTTTCCTTTTGTTAAAAAAAAAAAAAAAAAAAAAAAAAAAAAAAAAAGCAGCTTATTTTCCATTGACAGTGTATAGGTTAATAATGACTTTTAGTTGTGTTTTGCTGTTTCTTGGGTTTTTTTGGTTTTTTTTTAAAGTAAAAAAAAGCAAAAAAAAAAGAAAAAAAAAAAGCAAAGTGGCTTCAGGGGCGTTGGGGAAGTCCTGCCTGGCTCTGGGCTGCCTGTGCTGAGTGCAGGTGCCAGAGCTCCAGGGAAAGAAGTATTAAAATAAAGAGAAAATAAAATTAAAAAAAAAAAATAAATCATGAATCCTAAAAGAAAATAAAAATTATTTATAAAAAGAAAAAAAAAATTAAAAAAAAAAAAAAACGGGAAAAGCACCTATATATACCCGAACATACTGTGGCACAAACATACATTCTTGCTGCTTATCAAAGAGTGACTGAGTTCTAGACCCTCCTTTTCTGCACCAGGGGTTGTACATTTCTCTCTGACCCG